TTTTACCTCTATTTTTAAATCCAATCTCTTTCTCATTTGGTAAAGAAAATGTATTACCAATTGCTATTGCTTTTGTATGATTGAAAAGGAAGTCTATCGGACGGCCAAAAAATTAAATGAAAAGGAAGTCTACTGAAGTGCAATAGATTCCAAGATAGAATGAATTATATAAATAACTGGATCAGTTTACCTTTCTTACAGCACAGAGAAAAAAATTTCAAGAAAATTTGCAAATATAAATCTATTACAAGGTTAGATACTAACACATAAACAAGCAGTAAAATGCTAATTAACCACTAATATATATTATACAGCATGGACTATTAATTTATTAATTTAAGAAGCTAGAACACTAACAATATTGTTGTGAATATAACCTTACATTAAATATAAGTGTATATTACTGTCAAATAAATAATATAATAATGAATTTAAAATTGTCCCATAGAAAATAAAGATTAGAAAAATTTTTTGCTTAGTATCAACATTATATTAATTCTAATTTTATCTGACAATTTCAAAACTTAGAAAGAAAAAACACAATTTAGTCAATTCTAAACTAAACTAATTTACAAAATTAATTTCCATTCCTAAACAATATAGGAACATAATTTTCACCAACCCAATTCTCTTCAAACTGCTGTTGTTGAATTTTTCATCAATCTACTAATTCCCAAGTGATAGTAGAAAAAATTCATATTTAAATTCTTAATCTTTCTTAAGATCTAGTAATACATGTTTTCTAATCTATTAAGTTTTGTATTTCTACACAAACTAAAAAAAGTAGAAGTATTATTAGGTCTTACAGATTTCTTTTGTAACTGCACATAAAAATTATGATTATATTCTTATCTCATGTAACCTATATTATTTTATTTAACGATTCAACTCTAATACTTTTCTATCCGAGATGAGTGCCAACCATCCAAACAACTAATTGATTGGTCAAGTGTATTTCCTAATAAAATAAATAGAAAAATAAAGTTGATAAAGATTAATAAAAATAATTAATTAAAGATAAAAACTAAAATGATGTCACTAAAAATACGAGGAATTTAAGTTAAAGCATAAATCAATCATTTTTATTAAGATATTTTTTATCACTGATACTATAATTTCTTATAGTTATACTACCCCAAATACAGCAATCCAGTTTTTCCTCATTGTATCTTTATAAGTATTGTATTATCGTAAAAAAAACTCTACCCCACTATTTTTTCCTTATCCAGAAAAGTTTGAATATAAAATACTGTAGATTATTGGTAGAAATGGAAGCTGCCTATATATAGGCCTTGCGGCTAATCTGACCAAATAATATAAATTTATTTTGGAATAGCTGAATAGTAGAACTATTAGTAAGTTTAAAACGTTTTTGACGAAACGGTTATGAATTTATTTTGGAATAGGTGAATAGTAAGAGAACTGTTGGCAAGTTTAAAATATTTTCAATGGAACGGCTAAGTATGTAGCTGGTTCAAAAGATGGATTTGTAACTAATGAGTTACTACGCAAATTTAATTTTTTGAAAAACAACTGATTTGTAACTGATTGGCACAAAGGGTTTGCAATTTTTAATTAAAATTTATAACATTAAATTAATTAAAAATATTAAATATAAAATAGAGTAATCATTTCAATAAAAAATAAATAGAGAAATTGAATTCAACTCAACTTGAAGATTCATAATTCAAATCCAATTGAAACCCTAAAAAAAATAACTTAGTTCATAATTTAATGTCTAGAGATCAATTATAAAAAAAAAAAATCTCATACTCAATAAAAATTTAAAAAAAAATCCAAAATTGAGCAATGTCACCACTAAAGAATTTTTCTCTTTTTCACTGGAGTTCCTCCTCTTCCTCTCGCTAGAAAATGTACTCCTCAACCGACTGCCTTTAATTCGAATGCTGGGTAAATATTTCTAGAAAACATAATTGTAATAGGGGTGGAACCCATGTCTGAACAATAAGGACTCTGTTAATGTGCTGGAAATCGCCTAAGGTATCGGCACACCAAGGAAGTACCGACGCCTTCGCTGTATCAGCGAAAAAGAGTCCGTGTCGAGATTTTGTCCTTTAAAGCTGTTTGGACTTTTCATTGGTAAAACTGTTTGGACCCTTCATTCTTTTAAAAAATTGACACTTTGATCTTCCTAATTTTGATTTCTTTGGTTTGGTCTTAAGAATTCCAATTTCTTGCAATTTAGTGCTTACCTACACAAAACAAATTAAACATATGTAAAATCAAATAAAATAAGTCTCAAACAACTCAAAAAACTAAAACTTAAAATTAAAAGACATGTAAAAAATATATAAAATTTAGATTTATTAAGCACAAACACATGTAAATTTGATAATCTATAAAAGGTGAATGCTGATATAATAGATTTTAATAAATAGTAATAAAATAGAGAAAATAGAGTATAAATTTACAGAATAGAAAGTAAAACTAAATATACTAAAACCTTAATCTCAAAAAGGAATTTTAACTAATCAAAAATAAAATACTAATTTACTAAGAAACTAGAATGCAAAATATGAACAGATAAACTACTCCAAAATAATAATAAATGATATGAAACACAATTATTTAACCAAAAAAAATGTATGTTGCATTTATTTCAAGTTGGAAAGAAATTGATGTATAGCATCAATTAAAGTGTAAATGTGTAAATAAGGATGTCAACTTTACAATTTTTTTATTTAAGGATATTAACTTTGTTAATTTCTAAATAAGGATGTCATCTTTCAATTTTTTCTATTTAAGGATATTAACTTTTAATTTTTTCTATTTAAGGATATTAGCTTTCAACATTTCGGTTAAAAAATCTATTTGTCACATTAGTATCATTATTTAATTAATCCTTAAATAGAAAAGTTTAAAGTTTATATTCTTAAATAGAAAAAGTTAAAAGTTAACATCTGTATTTAAAAACTAATAAAGTTAATATCCTTAAATAAAAAAAATATAAAGTTAATATCCTTGTTTCACTTATTGCTTGAAATAATTAATGTAGATCTATACTGTACTATTTGGAGTAGAGTATGGATTTCACCAAGATGATGCAATACCTGGAGAAGGGTGCAAGGACAGATCCTAAGTTGTACACCTTGTACGATTATCAATACTATAAAATCATCCAATAATAGAAAAGAGAAGAAGGTAGACAGGCAGATGGAAGTGAATACTTACAGAGATTGTAACTAAGCATGTGTAGTTGATTGCATCCCCTCGATCTGGCTCTAAGATTCTCTTAATATGCAGTAGATCATGTAGATATGCTTTAAAATGATTTTATATATCAAGACCAAAAGGAAAATGAAAATCAACCAAAGAAAGACACTTATAAACTAATTAAATGACACTTGTGCTTAATTTTATTTGTTTAAGCTCTATTAGGGTTATATAAAGTAAAACTCGATAAAATTTGCGTTTAGTTTGGGCTCAATTAATTTTAATTAAAATTGAACTGATTAATTAAATTAAGATTAATTAGCGTTGAAATAATAGTATATTTTATTAAGTTTTTGTGATAAATTTGATTGTGTTGATATGTATCAATTTTTTGTGACTGAATTTTTGTCATAGTATTTTTTGTTATAATTACATAAATACCTTTTTTTAATTTAAAATTAATTTTAATAATTGATGACTAATTTTTTTTTCACATATACTTAATTGCATTTATAATTTTTTTTACTCACTTAATTGTAATATTTTGTGATAAAAATTGTTATAACAATAATACTTTTTGTGACAAGTAAAATTATTACAAAAATTTTGTTAATAATGTCAATTTTTTTTCGTTATTATAAAATTTTTTCTATGATAAGTGCCAAATTCATCAGTAAAAGCATTAGTAATGATGATTTTATTAATTATTTAAATTTTATCACTAATTCTAACTTGTGATGGAAAATAAAGGTTTAAGAACCAATAGTTTAGTTGGTAAATATGGTTTTTCTTGTAGTGTCTAGTCTAGCTATATATATTAACAATTGCAAATTTGAAGCATTTGCTGTTTTATCTAAGAGGTTGATGTTTGAGGTGGTGTCGAAATGGCAATTCAGTTTAGCATGAGAAGGCTGGAAATGGATAGATTATTTTGGCATGACTAAACTGAAACATTTTCTGCTGATTAAGTATTGAAGGTCCATTTTCATATATATATATATATATATGGGTATTGAAGGTCCGTGATTTTACATCAAAATTCGCACATACATAAAGAATTAACCACCAGATCCAAAACTCTATTGCAACAAGTAAGAGGTTGTAGGACAAATTGAAACAATTTTAAAAGGACAGGGATTTGTTTGTATAATGTAATTTAACCATAAGTGTTAAATAAAATAAGAGATATCCAAATGGTAAAATGAGAATTATTGAATGGAGAATCATTTATTTAAGTTGTGCAATTTGATGGTCTAATTCGAATCTTATATTTATAAAATAAAAAAACTTTATTTTTAAAGAAGAGAAAAATTAAAATTAAAATATTTTGATAAATAATGC